TGTTTGAGGAACGCGTCGAAATCGAAATTCTCGGGGTGTTCGAGTGGAGCGGGCTGCCACATCGCGGAGATCGATCCGCCAAGAGCGGCGACTTTGCCGAAATATTCCGCTGCGCGTTCCGAAAAGAACGCGCAGATCTGATGCATAGGCGTATTGCGAACGCGGCGTTCGACTTTCTTGTTCGGAAGGCGCGCCGGCCCGACAATCTTCAGGATGAGCCATCCTTCGACCTGGTCCTTGTCGGCCTTGCCGTTGGCGAGGGTGATGCCATGCGGACGCGTACGGTCCGTCTTTTCGAAGTATGCGACCCATTCGTCGAGCGCGTCGAGCGCGGAGTTGGGCTCAGGGACGAACTTCCGGGCATGCTTCTCGCGCCATCCCTTATCGAGATGAACGGCGTTCCCGAACCACTGGGGCGCCTTCCATTCGCTCGCGAATTCTTGCTGACGCTTGGTGGCATTGTCACCCAGCTCTTCGATCTTCTCGACGAAGTGTTTCATCAGGAATACCCCGTACCAATTTGCTTCCCTCTCGGCATCGCACGCGGCCTGACCGAGTCCCTCCAGGCTGGGTATGACGACGGTCTTCTTGATGGCCGCGATCTCGGCCTTCGACAGGTGTGCTTGTGGGTCCCCCACTGGGGCATACGGCTTGGCGGCGTACGGGTTGACGCCGTAACCCTCCCCCCTCCCGGGAGAAGTTCCCATCGGCAAAGGAAGCGGGGTAGGAACGCCGTCCGCGTCGGGGACCCACTGATACGACGTAGCCGACCCGGAATAGGTCGCGCTTCTATCATCGGCCTGTGCGCCAATGCCTAGGGCACGCTCGAGTTGCTCGACACGCTGCTGCAAGCGTGAGACATCGCGGGCGATGTTCGGAAGACTGATCGTCGGCGCCGGGTATGGCGCGATACGCTGATTGTACGAGCGCATAGCGTAGTGTCGTAGTGTAGCTGGAGTACTCAATAGAATTCTAGTTTCGTGCGACGGCTGTAGTGGTTTCTGCAGGCGCGGGTGGGTGGTATCGAACCCTTATACCGCCTGGTCCTATCGACCAGAAAATTTTGCCATCACCCTGGACAGGGGTGATACTCTGCGGCGTGACGATTGCACCTGGTGGTGCAGGCAACCCTACGATCGGCGTACGATTCCGAGGTAATTCTTGATATGTAGTTACCCCTTGAGCTTCGAAATATCTGTCTATCACGGCCAAATTCTCTACGTTAACCCATGGTTCCCAGGAACTATCGCCGAAAGTCCATCGTACTAAAAATAATATTTCATCGTCGTCCCATTCATGGGCGACGATCTCCTCGACTTCTCGTTCAAGCTCATCTGGTTGCCCGAAGTCGTAGAAGCTCATGGCTTCGCGACCCGGGAACTTGGCGTCGTCATTCGGCACGTGGGGCCGAAGCTTCGATATGTGGAACCGCGGGTGTACTCTCCGCTGTCGTAAATCATTTGGTAATTCTATCTCGTACACACTTGATTCATTAAACGCTTTAATTACTTTAAACGGTCCGATAAACCGGGGCGCCAGTTTACGCGCGCGTTTGAGCAGGAGGCTTAGATTCGTTGTGCTGATGTATACGAGATCGCCCGGTGTGTACTCCACGTGGTCCCGTCTTTGCCGATTCGCGTGGTGTGCCTGGCGCACACGCGCACCAATAATGGCGTCATGCGCCCGCTCTAAGCAATCCCTCGCATTCAACATGAATTCTCGCACTCCCGGTGCTGAGTGTTCCGTAGGTAGTACGTCTAACATTCTCGGGATATACCCGTAATTAAATTCGAAAGGACTGTATCCCGTAGTCTCAGATCGTGCCGCATTCATTGCGAACTCGGTGAGTGCGAGCATGTCGGCCCAGTCGGTCTGATCGGGCCGGACGAAGCTGCGCAGGATCTGCGATACCGTGCGATTTGCACGCTCTGTCACGCCGTCTGTTTGGGGATGGAAGGCTGTGGACATCAGCAGGCGTGTCCCCATCAGACGGTGAAGTTCCCGCCAAAACTTAGAATTAAACTTCGAATCTCGATCAGACACGATGCTATCAGGAACCCCGTGCAATCGCACAACCTCTTTGAGAAATGAGCAGGCGAGTTCGCTCGCAGTTGTCTTAGTATTACAGGGTACAAGATGTACCATTCCCGTCAGTCTGCATATTATTACCCATAGGTAGTCGTATCCCCGGGACTTCGGGAACGGGCCCAGAAAATCCATCGCTATCGAGCCCCAAGGGCGGTTCGGTATCGGTAGGCTGTGTAACAATCCTTCGGGCTTCTGGTTCACGTCCTTTGCCGTCTGACAGAGATGACATGATTTGCAAAAAAGGTCGACATCTGCGGCAATCTTTGGCCACCAATAGTAGCGACGCAAATACTCCGAGGTCTTGTTAGCGCCGAGGTGACCGATCGCCCGGGTGCGCACCATCAATCACAAGCTCTCTCACGCACGCGCTCCGAGCTTTTCCGGAGGGCACGCAAATCACTCGTTACCAAGGCGGATTCTTGGTGTATACCATCCCTTCCCGTAATTCCGAATGCCGGTGCTCTTTAGGAGCCGCTACGAC